TCTCCACCGGTGGAGAGGCACCACACAAGTGTCACACTTTAACCTCAAATAAACGCTGCGAGACTCTCAATCCACATGAAGTAGAGCTGATAGTGAAGTTTTAACACTTAAATGTCAGTAATGACACTGGCAGAGAGGAGCTAGCGACTGCATTATAAGGTGTCTACAGCAATCACTCCGACAAGAGTGAAGGTGTTTATTATGGTAAGACTCATGAAATGAACTCCTGCACCGAGGGTGTATAAATCATGTGAAATACACAGACTTTAAAAGTACAGATAATTAGTCAAGTATATTATCATGTAAGGATCATTTGCTTTTACATTAACTTTCACTGGTTTTTGATGTCTTACAGCATTAGTGATCACTTCAGTCAATTATTTGGTTGACTGCTCAAGATTTATGTGAAGTGGCTCTCATTAACGTTTTCTAACATCGTGGCAGAACTTCAATTTGTTCAGTTTTCATTCTTGTGCATTTAGTTGTATGTGCTCGTAATGTTTGAAGGCTTCTTGTCTTGTTTAAAAAACATGCAGATAGAATACAAATCAAGTGAACAGCTTCACAGTTTCATGCTACTTGTATATTTTTAAAAGATGATATTTTATCCTGATCTTAATGGTTTTCATGATGACTAAAAATAACAACCAAACATTTGTGTATCCAAAGTATTTTTTGTGAACAATTTGAAAAAACAACGATAAAAGATGTTTGAAGATAAGACAAACACACATATCGAATTGATCCCACTAACAGTTACTGCCTGTGTGTTTCACTAGGTTACATGTCCATCCACTATAAGCACTAAAGCATTGTTAACTGTAAAGAAAACTGAAACTATTGTCTGTCCTTTATAACCTATGCTGGGATGTTCTTAAGCAAACTTCCCCTTTAAAAAACTAAATCGTGATATTACGTATCTTCACTGTTCCAATGAATGAATATAGATGATTGGAAATATTCCAGTAACCTTACGTATTATGACTCCAGGGACAGATACATAAAACTCTCTTGAGACTAAAAGCTTATGTATGCACAACAGCAGAAAAAACACTGTATTGGTGCCAAATTGAAACCTCTGCTGCGCACACACACTGCTCTATATGTTACACCTGAGTTATGTGAACAAGTTTGGAGTGTTATTCATGGCGCTGATCAGACAGCATGCTCCTGAACCGTCACTGGAGCTCGCCAAGGAGCTCATCTGTGTTCTCGCCAGCTCTCCTGCTGGCAGGTAACCAGAGGTCACTCCTTCCAATCTCCAGACTAATTCATCTATCAGCGTTATCTTCTCGTCCTGAGTGTTTTACTACGTATAACCCTCTGTGTTCTCTTGTGTGCGGGCTGCGGAGACGATGCCAGCCGTTGGTTTCACAGCCCACCTCTCGAGTAAAAGTTTTAGTTTCTCTCTAGTGCATTTATTTTTGTGAATTTGTATTGTTTTAGTTGTTTACAATTAGACAAGCCCTTCCTTTGTTAAATCCACAGTAAATTAATTAATAAGCATCAATGATCTCCTGAGTTTTGAATCACTACACTGTAATCCTCTCTTTTCATTGGACGTTATCATAGACACCATTACAGCAAATGTGAACCTGATGATCACTCCTAAAATTACACATCAATAACCCTTTGAAACCGGATACAAAATCACTATAGCAACGTTCAGGTTACAGAGGTTTATGTTATTTTCCCAATTTCCAGTCTTTCTGCCTAGTATGTTCACATTTATGTTTAAAGTTTTCCTTATTTAACGTCTATGTGAACAGATCTTTGCCGACACATGCAACGAACAATATCACACAATACTTGTCATATGTTGAGGATGAGGGTATAAAGATGAATGTGGAGGGAGAGGTGTAGGTGAAGGTTTTTCTGAAGAACAGTTCCTCCTCAACTTGAGGATGTCCATAATCCAGGGCTCAGCCTCTTAAGACAGGGCTGTTGTGGCCCGACTCAAAAGGTCATCAGTGTCAGAAAGTGTCTGGCACTTTGGTTGTTCGAATGTCGTTTCAACCAATCACAATGACCCTTTATGGTGAGTGATCTCCTGTCACACATGAATTCTGTTATGACTTTCTCACAGCAGATCGGATTAGAAAGAAATGAGTCCGCACTACGCCAATGTGTGAAAGAGTTGTTTTGGGGCCATATTTGGTTGTATAGTGAATGCAGCCTTTATTACATCTGGCACCAATGTCCAAGCAGCTTTTACATTGTTATGCACAGCAGGATAAGGCAAAAGTCATAATCTATTACTTGGTTTAGTCAATTTTATTATATGAAGCAATGTCAATATAGAAAGTGATAAAACGTTTTCCAGGAGCTTAATTGAGAAACCTTTTAGTCGGATAAGAATGTCAGATTTTATAGAAACTCAGCTAATTAACTACCTGACAAATCAACGTTTTTCATCACATTGATATTATAAAGATAACGGGCTTTCATTATAAGGGATATTAAACGCATGGTATAAATGATACGGACACTTCTCTGAGAGTAAACACATTACTGTCAGCCTCTATATCTTATCACACAATCATAATGAACAGCCATTAGCGGTGCATGCATACAGCACTGTGCGACAATGACAACTCAGCTGCTGCTACACCTTGCTAACAGCTACACCTGGAGTGTAACACATTATAAAAAGCACTGCAATTTCCTGCATGACGGCCTCCATGGTTTGTTGGAACTGTAATGATGTAAATATCTATTGTGTGTGTAGCACAGGCCATAATGAAGTTATGTGACACTGTAATACTGTTCTTTGATGTCTTTATTACATTACTCCCTACTCGCTGTAAATGAAACCATCTTAAAATGAATACTAAAAAAGCAATAGCTTTCATTTCAAATGTGTGAGTGCATAATGTAGGAGCATACACTCCAAGGCAAAATCCTGTCATATTTGAAAAATAAATATAATCTGAAATTGAATATTTGTATGCAAATGCAAATAGTAGTATGAGCTCAGTCCTCAGGTGGCTTCCGCACTTTGGGAGGGTCGGCCTCTGCACTTTGGGAGGGTCAACATTGTAGACTGCAGATAAAAGGCCTTAAAATAAGTCAATTATACCAACGATTAGTGTCGTAAGAGTCCAATTACAGAGCTTAAAGTTCTGCTGTCCAGGGTAAAGGCTGTGTGAGGTTAAAAGCCTTTAGACCCTGAATGAGCTATTGAGGTCATCGCTGTTGTATTTCTATATAATCAAGAAGACTGGAGTGTCGTATGTCATTCTTAGATTACAGTTACAATACATTTATCTGACGCTTTTATCTAAAACAACTTACAATAAGTGCATGATGCAACCATGAAGAAACAAACTCAAAAGCAAGAGCAGGAATATTTCCTATCTATAAAGCCACCCAGATTAAGTGCTAATGCATTAGCTTCACTTAAAGCTGGACCTTGCTAAGTGCTACATACAGAAGAGAGATTTCCAGTCTGCGATGAAGGACTGAGGTGTAGCCAGGACTGAAAACAGTTGTGTTTTTGTTAAGTGGTACCTGGGTCCCACTCGCAGTAAGGCAGCATCTAGCTGATTGGCCAATGCATTTCTTAGGAGAAAATGTGTATATTTAGAACGGGAAAAATACTTATAAACCAGAGGCTGCCCCCACTTTGCCTTGCTGTAGGCATAACCCGTATGGACCCTTTTGGTCACATGTTGTCACATGTCCTAACTATATAATTAATCCTATTTTTCTGAGAATCTATAGAGTTGGCCTCTTGTTAATGTTACCTAACTGTTGGGAAAATACTGAATGTACTCTTTCTATATCAGAGTCATGATAGGCCTAACTGTAGCTGTGTACGTAACGTAACCAGATGTATGATTACATGGATGACGCTCATTTCAATTGTTTTAAAGTGTGGGCTGTGCTAGAAATATTTTGAAATGAAGAAATGTACTAACGATACTTTAACGTTAATGTTAGCTAATTTGTGTATGTATTTAATGTTATGTAATGTTTTTCATAGCTATAGCTGATGTGTTAGTCATATACAAACATGTAGTTTTTGAAATTGCTGTATATGAAGCTAATGTGAAAACAAGAAGGTAAATCCTCACAAGCATTATAAAATGACATTTTAACATCAGCTCCCCTGCTAGCTTCAAGTAGATTCCTGTAAAACTGTACTATTCGTTATTTTTTAAGTTCAATTTATTTGATTGTTTGACTATTTGCTTCAACTTGCTCTGACAGTAAATACTGTATGCATTTTGTGGCCATACACAAATGCTGGCTCTGCTAAATATTACTATCAGGAATATCTTAATTGCCGCCCTAATTATCTGAGAATAATTATACATACATGTATAAAGTTATCCACTCAAATAAGAAGCATGTGTCTTACATAACGTCTCACATTAAATGACCTTCATTTTCATGTCTATTCTTTTGTGTTTATTAGGGTCAAGCTTATTTTTATATTAACTATTATTAGAGCAACAGAGGGTAACTGAGAGTAACGCTGGATATTCCTGAGAAGTAATTAAAAACTAAGACATAACTATTAAGATTAAGCATCTGTGAGGAATTCCCCAGAGACTGATATGTTGTCTCTCATCTTTTAAATACATATGTTGGACTACCTAATTGCTGTTTAAATCTTAATAAAATGTGCAACGTTTTTCCTCCTCCAGACAGATTGTGCTCTCCGCAGCTGTTTATCGTATGGCTCCGAGCCTGAAGCTTTAACCATGCAGTCCAGCTGAGCCATCCACTTGTTATAGCCATGTGGGTAAACACACTGGACTCAGCAGAAATATAGTGCAGGCCTGAAATGAGCTGTGAGATTAACTGTGAGTTTGAATATTAAATGTATGGCTGCTCCACTTTTTTTTATAGGTGGGCAATGCTGTCAAAAAACACTGTGAGCCAAATGTGTCACTCGCCTCAAAACATCAGAGGGAGGTTTTTCAAGGTGGTTAAAAACTTTGAGCAAAAAAAGAAAGTTAAAAAGCTTTTTCCACATCAGGAGAGTGTCTTACTTGTGCACTTTTTCAGGCCGGACCCTTTCTTCAAGGCGTGACGGCTGAGCTTGCAGCTGAAGTTGTTCTCCCAGAACTCGGCAAACCAGATATTCCTTCTGTTGTTCTCCAGCGTTCGGCTGATGAAGTAACGATCAAACCCTAGACAGATCAATAGGTACATTGTCATTGACACAGTGAGTGTAAACAACAGCGTCTGTGCAGTCTGTGAAACCCTCATGTGTTCTATCGTCTAATTCATTGATCATTGCATATGTTTAATCTGTTTGACAGAATCTCATTTGACCTTTGATGATCAAATAATTAAAGGTACAGCTTTACAAAGCAAATAGCTACAGTCCTGCATCACATGAAAGGAATACACTGAAAAAACTGAAATGTTGACTTTAATTACATGTAGTACGTCATCAAGTTTCACATAACTGTATTAGGTTAGTTAATAGCAATAATATTAAGTTGAACCTACTACTTATATACAGCTATGTAAAATCTGTTGGCATAATACATTTAATTAAAGTCAACGTTTCCGTTTTTACAGTGTACTTACTGAGAAATGCATATAATAATAATTATAAAATAATAATAATAAAGCTTTATCTATAAAGCACTTTTCATACAGCACGTGCTTTACAAAATGGCTAACATCACAAATAAAAAATAAACAACATGAAATTCCCCTCAGATCAGATGTTAAGAGCTTTACAGATACATACAGCTAAATAAAACATGTCAACAGGTTAAGAGACACAAGGAGGTAAAAGGTATGATAATTAAAAAAAAACGGAAAGATAAGACACAAGACAAGTGAATCGATGCAACAATGTGACACACTATAAAATAAAGGGAATATATAGGTACATGGTTTTACTATACAGGGAGATGTTATATATGTACCATGCTCTTCTCTGTACCTTTGATGGACTGCCGCTTGGGCAGGATGGTGACCGCTCCCTCCGCCATCTCCTCCTGGTCCACCACCGGAGAGATCTTAGAGCCCCAGCTGTCTGAACCCACCCAGATAAAGTGACCTGTCTGGTTGGCCTTTTTAGCCGCTTGGAGTAGCCGCCTGCAAAGGTGAAGAGACAGATGTTGTCATGGATAAGGTCAGCATCCCGACCAGCTCTGCTTTGATTTTGTTTTGCAATTCATTACACAGTGGTTAAGCAGAGCTGGAAGGAATTGGATATTTTCCGACATGTTTCCCTGCCTGCTGCAGTCTAATCTTCAAAGCAGTTATTACCAGGCCTTACCTGATATCGTCTTCGCTTGCGAAAAGTATGACGACTCTCGCGTTCGGGTTTTCCCGGAGACGCCGGATGATCTTGTCAAACCCTCCCAGCTTGGGCTCCCGGGGAATCTTCACAGACTGGGAGATGCACACACCCCCTGAACACACACAAGTTCATAGATGTCAATGTGATAATTAGGAGAAACTGAAGAACAATGCCTTTACAGTATCAAAGGAATCACAGAAACCAACACAACAAATGAATTCAACTTTAAGTATTTGAACTTAATTGAAATGTTATTAGGTACAAATAAAAAATCTTGGGTGAGGTAATGAATCCGAGGGCTTTGTGTTGTCAGTTTACCAAGGAATGTGTCGAAAACTGAAATTCAGATGGTGAAATGGCATATTCCCAGCAGGCTTGTAAAGGAGAGAACTCGCCTTGCTGTCTTTGAGAGGTTCTTTATGTTGGATATTGACAGTATGCAGTTTTGTGGGAAAGGTAATAATGTGACAACGTGTGGCAGTGTTTATGTTGTTGCTCCATTATTTATAGAGTGCATTCAAAGAGTACATTCCTGTACATGAGGGTTTCGCTGAGACTTTTATTCTGAAAGGCACTCATTTACATTAATGGAGAGGTGTCATGCTTTTCCGGTTATTACCCGTCCCCTTGTGTGTTATGAAGGTTTTTATGCATGTAAACGGTGTGCAGAGTCAAAACCCTCAAAGTACACCCTGTAGCGAGTAAAACTCTAACACAGAAAATACCTCCCCAAAACGACTCGTTGGAGATACGTCATTGTCCATTTGATTCTTCCGGGACGGCATGATGTCAAAGCCGTACCCGGAACGAAATGGACCAATCCGTGGAGCCGTTACGTTACGTCCGCGGAGCCGTTACGTTAAGCCCCCGCTGATTGGTCCAAATTGACCAATCCACGGACTTCCTCACACACACATCTGTGTGCAGGGAGCAGGCAGCTCAGCTGATTTCTCCTCCCTGGCTGCAGGCTGATAACAGACAGTTGGGATCGCGGCGAAATTCTCTCTGCAGACCCATTCTCACAGCGTTTATCAACCTTTTTCTTACTCAATATCAAGCCACACTTATTGTTTTTACTTCGGCTGTGAGTTTGTGTGTGCTCAGGATGAGTTTGGCTGTGTTTCGCTATGTATCCTAAACAAGGAAACAACACCTCCACGGAGCTCAGCGCGATTCACAACGTCCCGACCAATCAGAGCACACTGTGCTCACAGGGAGGGTGGGGGCTGGAGCTATTGGAGCTACAACGAGCCGTTAAAGGCAGAGAGTGAAATTCAGTGAATACAAGTAGTTTACAGAGATGCTGTATGAGAAACCAATGTGAGTTTGGAAAAATGCACAATATAAATCTATTTTAGTAGACCTCAACAATGGAATTATGATCAGTGGAAATGGCCATGACACCTCTCCTTTAAGGTGTTACATTTCTTACTTTCCCATTGTTCCTTAATCAATGTTGTACTTCTTTTACAAAGGGTGTAGCGGTGTGGACTTTCCTATAACATTAAAAAAGGCCCTCTAATGTTTTTGGGGATTTCCCTTTCCAGTGTAGTGTAGTGTGTTATATAGGTTTTTGTGGATGTAAATGGTCTGCAAGGGCTAAAATCTCAAGGTTCACACCACAGGGAGTTTCTCTCCCACACGATCCCCCCCACCTGAAACGCCTCCATTGGACTCCTTTGTTTACTTAAGTAACATGTGTAACACTCAAGCTTGTATTAGCTAGCGCTCCGACACATAACACGTGATAAGCTATGGGGCTGGACATCTCTTAGCAGTTGACCAACCAAAACAGAGCCGGCCAGCTAACCAATCAGAGCAGACTGGGCTCTGGTTTCAGACAGAGGGTGAAAAGAGGTGCTGCAGCACAGGCAGCATGAGAAGAATAAAGAGCTTTTTGAACATTACAGCAAGGAGACATGTCACAGTAGAGACACAACATACAAATATGAAACCTGAAAATGAGCATAATTGGGCCCCATTGCATGTTTTTAGCACTTTCCAGTTAATGGCATCACTGTTTCTAAATTATCTCAAACGTATATTGTGTTATTTATCAGTTGACATCTACGGCAAACCAATATATATATATATATATAATATAAGCTAATCTTGGCTGGTATGCCAGCCCTGCTAATTTACCGATTCAATTGTCACAGTACGATCACCACGAAGGCATTATGACAAAAATAAGCCTTTTTGATCATTAAAGCATGGAAACATGTCTCAGTAGAGGCATTAAATACCTGAAAATATGCATAAAATGTATTTTTTTATTTCCCTGTTAATAGGAAACTATTTTCTTTGCCAATTTGCTTTTGGTGAAAAGAGTGTGAAGTAAATGTAGTGTTTATTTTCTCCTTTTTTGATCTTATGTTTGTTTTTTTCTTTGTATAAACCTGTTATCGTGAGCGGATGTTTGTGTAGGCGTGTGTGTGGCGAGGCCGAAATGTAACTTGGAATGCCCGCTGAGACCAACTCAAAACATGACCATTACTTTGAATCCTTGTAAGAGCACACAAACATTCACAAAAAAAAAGAAACAAAAGGATGTTGTGATTGGTTTTGTTCAGTTTAGATTCAGCCAAGATGTCTTTGTACATAATGTACACTGTAGATCCTATACATGGATACACATTGTACTTCTCACTATTGTCAATGGAGACCAGTTAGAGTAAGCGAAGCATAACTTTGTAAACAACTCTTTGCCAAAGTGAGTCTGTGTTTATTTACACGGTAAAGATTAGCCTGACAGGTTGTTCTTCAAAAAGCAATCAGAGGAAACAACGACATAATTAAACAATTAACTACAAATTAATTAAAGGTACACCTCCCTCCCCATCACCCACGTCATGTCAACAACCTGATGCATGCAGATGACAAATTAAACAGCAACAAGGTTCCTAACATTGTTTTTTAGTGCTTGTAAAGTAGATTACTGTCTTGTGTGTGTGCAATGTGGAAACAACTTTGATGGTGTTGACTCCTGTCATTCTGCTGTCTTCCACCCTGATGCCCAGCTCAATGAAGGGGCAGCCAAATCCCGATTAAGCTGTCCAAAAAACTTATGATGAATGTGACTGTCTTGTTCTTGCACAGCTGTCATCAAACCTCATTAAGTTTGAGAAGGTCGGACAGAATGTTTGACCCTGTCCTCACACATGCATTTTAACGTTTTCAGCGAAAAGAAACAGCAACAATTCTGCATTGAGAGCTGTGTAAAGAAAAGTAAAGGATGGTGAGCTCAGCTATAATAGTAAAACAATTAAAGCATAGGACATGTGCCTATATCAATTTATCCAAACGTATCATCTGACGCTGTAAATATGGCCTTTTTTCAGCATAGATTAGTGTACATGCTACATTTTGTGATCTTCTATTTCCTCTCAAGCTTTTAATTGATTAGCTTAAAAAGATTAGCTTAAAAAGAAAAAGAAAATCCTTCTAACTTGAGACTCCCCGCCAATCTAGGCCGCATCTTTTTAGTTTGTTCAAAACTCCATGAAAAACACAAGAAACGAGATTAAAAAGCTTTTAATTTCAGCTGTGAAGGCATGTGGTTTTTATAGTTTGGTACTTTTCATTCCCCTCTCGATGAGTTCCACAGTTCCAATAAAAGCTACTTTAACAATCCCACCCAATTTGCAGACCTACTGAATACGTTCTGGTCTCACACCAAGAGCAACATATTGCAACACTTTTTAATTCAGTTTCCACCGCTGTTAAACTGCTATGAAAACAATTCCCTGCAAGGTTTAATGCCCCAATGTACTAAGGGACTCTGAATGACATATTAGGATGTAAAGGTCCCCTATTGTGCTTTCTGCGGTTTTCCTTTTCCTGTAGTGTGTTATGTTTTTGTGCATGTAAATGGTCTGCAAAGGCTTAAATCCTAAAGTTCATGCCAGATAGACTTTCTCTCTCACACACCCCCCTGCCTAATATCCTCTATTGGACTCCTTTGTTTACTTCCATAGTGAGATCACAATTTAACACTTGCGCTTCTATTGGTTAGCGCTCCAACACATTGTACATGATAGGCTAAGGGGCCAATAACCAATCAGAGCAGACTGGGCTCTGGTTTCAGACAGAGGGTGAAAAGAGGTGCTGCAGCTCGGGCAGTACGAGAAAAATAAAGAGCTTTTTGAACATTAAAGCATGTAAACATGTCCCATAATTGTAAGTAAAAAAAGTCTCCATAATCAAAGTAATTAGCAAATGTAGGAGTTGTTTTAGCGAGAAAAAAAGTCGACTTACAACAACCTTAGAAAGTGGCCATCTTTCTGTGGAAATCTTTTTCTAGATAGTTATGTAGGAGGATCCCACCTGCAAAGCTCATATTGATCCATTGTTTCTCCAACTAGGGGAAACAGCCATCAATGACACAACAACAAGACATCGGTTGAGGGGAAAGAGGTGAAACTAGGCCAGAGGATTTGTAGTTGTCTATAAATATAACATTGAATACAAGGCTCATCGTGCATCGTGTGTGTGATCCTAGAATTGATGTTTGGTACCCCTAAAAAACACAATTTTAGCTATCTTCCCATCATAATTAGTTTCTGCTAGAAGCAGGACGTGTTTACTTTGACTGCTGCAAAGAGCATTTAATCAATTCAGCCATTTGTGTGTGATGACCCACCTGTCCGTCTGACTCAAATAGACTTAATTATTGGTCATGTTGGATAAGAGAGAGGCATGCAAATTAAGCTGTCACTTGGCCGTTTGTCACATGCCAAGGTAGAGGGACTATCGTGGAGTTATCTTAATAACGTGTTCACTAAAATGAATAGAAACTAATAGTGACAAATAGCTGCTGCAGCATCAGGACAGCCGCAGTCGTGTAATCTGTCTTTGGCACGATGGCTGAGCAGCTCCCTTTCTCTGCTTTTCTTTTATATTGAGATGCCTTCCAGATAACAACAGACGTAGACGTAGAGTGTGAGATCAAGCGAAGGCATCAACAGCCAGTGCGTGTGCATTCTTTTTGAATTATGCCAACGCCGAATTTCACAACCACAAAATCGGATTATTTCACAGCCGCATACTTTCATTGTTCCCTCATAAACAAATAAACAGATTAGGACTGCAAAAATAGGATTTGTTGATACA